CTCGTTGAAGATTCAGCACTGGCATCAGAACAGGAAGGTCTCTAATCTTTTTCTAAAATTGACCAGCACAGAAGCTGCTTGAGGGCCATCCCCAAATGTCAACAGAGCAAGGAACCTGCCGCTTCTTGCTGGAGGTCTTTCCTTGGAAGTCTCTGCCTTTTGCAACAAAAGGACCCAGATACTGCAGGCTGGCAGCTCCATCTCAGGTTTCAGTGCAGGTTTATTTCAATTTTATATTTTATTCCAGGCAAGTGCTTATTACATGGATAGTATTCATGTCTCAATACCTAGAGTCTTGGAGCATGAACAGCCACTAGAATACAGTTCAATAGTAAAAATACAATATGTACAAAAGTAGGGTTTTTGTAGTTTTTTTCCCACACAGCAGATGTATCCAAACACATAAAAATCTCTACAGTCTGGGGTCACTACAAGTTATATTTCAGGAAACGGAGACACAGTGACCGAGTCCTCACTGTAAACAAGGGCCACCTCTTGGGGGATGGGGGTGGGACCCTGGGATGGGGGAGAAGCAGCTGTTCCTGGAGAGAGCAGAGGTTCTGGTGACCCCCACCCCCGTTTCCCTCCAGGCATTCCCTGCCCTTCTTTGGCCCCCCCCAAGGAACCAACCTCCCCCTCTCCCCGAGGTAAAGATTCCCAGCCAGTGAGCCACTCTGAACATCAAAAAGTAAAACACGCATGAGAGGTAAGATGTGTGTGTGCGCACGTCCCCCAGGCTGGAAGGGCTAGGGAGGGGAGGGGAAGGGAGGGGAGGGAAGGGGCAGGCGGTCCCACAGGGTGAGGACAGATGTGGTCCTGATAGCTCTCAGAAGGGAGATGCCCAAAGGGCTGGGTGGCTGCCCTCTTGGGCACACAGCGTCACAGCATTCACAAACAACAAAAACAACAGCAACAACACCCATCGTCACCAGTCTGGACATAGTCGTTCGGCACTAGGTTCAGAACCCCCACTGCTGGGGACAGGGAGGGGCACGGGCAGCCCGCGGATGAGGTATCTGTGCAGGCCCAAGGGGCGACTGACTGGCTGACACAAGTTTTATAACTCTGGACTGGCCTCAGGATGCAGGGAGGTGAACGGAGCTGAGGAGAGGCAGTTCACCAATGCTTCTCTGCCTGTTCCCTGGGCACCAGGCCTGCTCTTCTCCCTGTTCTTTCCATTGTAATCACACTGGGAGGAGTGAAACTGGCTCCCCAGAGAACCAGGGTGGCGGTAGCGGCTGCAAGGTGCAGGAAGGCAGCAAGCTTGAGAGACAGGAGCACTGCGAGGGGCTGGGGGCCAGTACGGGGCTCCCTCCTGGAGGCCTCTAAGGCATCTGATAGGCCTCCCCTTTCCCCGCCCCAGGAAAGACAAATGAGAAAGTCCCCTGGGAGGTCTCCAGGACCAGGAAGGAACTGAAAGAGTTCTTAGGCATATAAATCTATTCAAGACCTCTGCTGGGGCCACTCCAGAATCGTGGCCCCAAGACTTACCCCACCCCCAAGACTGTCAGTGCAAACTTCACACCTTGGGACACTCTCCTCCTCCCCGCACACTGAAAGGCCATTGGTGAGTGTGTCCAGGTGGGAAGCCAAGTGTGCACGTGTGTGTGTAACTGTGTGTCTGACACAAGGCCACTTGTAATAAATACATAAAAAGAGAAGCCAGTCTGCCAAGGCGGAGGCAGGGAAAGCAGCATACCTTACACACCAGCTCCCCTTGCTCCTCCCACCCCAAGCTCAGTCCTGCCCTTGGCCCAGCTAAGTAAGGACCTTTCCTCAGAGGAAGGCAGTGGCACACAAAAGCCCCCCCCAGGGAGGGTATACTCAATAAAGCCCACTGTAGAAAGGGTGACTGACGTTCAGGGCAAAGAGATGACAGTAGAGACAGAGAAGTTGGGGCAGTCCCGGCAGCCCTGCAAGTTTGACCCTGCCCCCTCCCTACAGGTCCCCAGGGCCTATTTGGGAAAGAGTTGGGAGCTCTAGTGGAACCCCTGGATTTTAACTTCCTAATTGCCTCAACAGTGTAGCTTCAGGCTTCTGGAACCCAGACCAGATTCTGGTCCATGTCTCCAAGGTGGCACCACATGCACCCATCCTTGGGGGAATGCAGAGCACTGAGCAGAGGCCAGGCAATCAGGGTAGTGACAGCCTTCTGGAAGCTAAGAACCACGTCCAGGGATGGGAACAGGGGTACAGGGCTGCTCTCAGTCCAGATCCAGGCTGGGAGGGGGGATGGGATGATGGGGACAGCCAAGCCCCTTGTTTCCCACCCTGCCCTCAGCCCGCCTTCTTGAAGTGAGGAGCCCAGCAGTAAGGGTTGAAAGGCTCAGAAGCTTGGCAACAGCTTGGGTTTGGTTTACTGTTGGTAGAAAATCATCTTAACTAGTTTCTGCTGTAAGGAATCACAGTGACTGCAACTGGGTTAGAGAGCCCCAGGCTGGGGCACCCACCTGTCTGCGGAGGACTCCAGACCAGCCACTTTCTAGGACTTGTCACCTGTACTCAAAGCAGGTCCCACAGTGGTCCCCAACTTTCTGGGCCAAGTTGCTTCAGTTCAGCTCCCCCTTCCCTTCCAAAGGCCTGGGAAGGGAACACTGAGGCTCGGGAGGGGAGAGCCCCGACGCTCAGCCACATCACCAGACAGAGCAATAGCAGCAGCAGCAGCACAGGAAGGCAGCAGGGGAGGGAGAAGGAGAACACAACGTCCACATCGAACTCATTTTAGGGGACAGGATGGGGAGGCAGGAACAGCACCAGGCTGAATAGGCAGCACGTCCACCAGAGCGTCTCTCATCACTTTATCAAGTCCTAGTACAGTGGGCTAACACCCTGTCCTGTGCCCAGCTCCCTGGGGTGGCCCCTCCCTCCCCTGGCTCAGAGTCTCTGCACCCCTTTTCCCTAG